GCTAAAAACCAAAGTTAGACTTTGGAACGGCCTCCCAGCTGATACGCTTTTCACCATGTCTATGGTGATTCAAGGAGCTCTGATGGCACAATGGTTAAGTGTTCCGCTGCTAATCAAAGGTCAGCAGTATGAATCCACCAGACGCTCCTTGGAAACCCTATGGGGCAGTTCTACACTGTCCCATAACTGTGAGTTGGAATGAACTCGAGGGCAATGGGTTTGGTTTCGGTTTGGGTGTGGTGATTCAAAGGAGCAGCTCCTTGTGATGTCCTTCCTGATGTCAGAATTAAGGGCGGGGCAGAAGAAGACCTAAGTACTGCTCTCTTTCTTTCAGTCTAGAGGGTAAGCCTGTAAACTCACTGAGCAAACAATTTTAATCCCAAGTAGTCAAGATAGTCTGGATTATTAGTGAAAAATGTTAACACTAACTTGGATTTAGAGTATTTTTCCTTTGAAGATGCAATTAATACTTCCTTTGTCTTCTCTTATTCAAGGTGGGTTGAGGAAAGAGGTATTATTCGTTACATCAAAGTAGGTAACTGTTCAGTCCTCTTCTGTTACATCAGTTTAACTGAGTGCAACAAAGATTTTCTGAGTTTACTCTCCCCAACAAAGATTTTCTGAGTTTACTCTCCCCAAGTATTGGAGATGAGTTCAGTGACACATCCTAACGTCAGAGTTTACAGTCTTCCAGTCTACAGGTATTTGTAATCTTTATTTGGGTTTAACTCTGATCTTGGGGTTTGTCTTTGCAAAGGGTAGCCCTCCAGAATGTGTGATAGGCATTCATTAGCTCTGGAAGAAACTTCAATTCCATCTGGATTTACGTAGCACTACCGAGCCCTGGTGGCATAGTGGTTAGGAGTTTGGCTGCTAACAGAAAGGTCGGTAGTTGGGATCCACCAGGTGCTCCTTGGAAACCCTATGGGGCAGTTCTACTGGGCCGGAATCGACTCTGATGGCAATGGGTTTGGTTGGGTTTTATGGTAAAGTACACCCCCTGACACAGAGGTGACTTTATTCTGCTGGGCTAGTCTATAAAATTTAATGCAGCTGGCTAGCAAAATTCTCAATTCCTCTTGCCTGATGACAGACTTTCTCTAATTCATTTAGGATAATTACCTC